ACCTCCTACAGTCTCTGTTTAAACTCGCTGAGTCTGGTAGATCATTCCCATAAAAGCTTTGTCTGGGACGAGCCATGAAAGACAGGCATGATCAGCAAGAATACCAACCTAGGCTGAACAAACTGAGAAATGTGTCATCTATACTGAACTAAAAGGCTAATGCAGCAACAATATATTGACCAAAATTTTGTCAAAACCCAAGTCTGACTTTGTTTTATTATAAAAATGATAATGCTATTGAAACATACAGATTATAGATTGAAAAAATAATTAAAATAACATTCACTTAAATGCGAATGTGGCACAAACATTTTGCTTTGAAGCATTTATCTCTTCTTTGTTCTGGTTTGGGCCCCCTGGGAGCCACTCAAAGGCCCCACTTCAAAATCAGCTGTTTTAAAGCACTCAGGGGGCCTTGGCAGCCTCACAGGAACTTAAAACATTAGAAAATAAAAAGAGCCAAAGGGTGTTGGAACATGAGGAAAGCAGGAAATAGATCACTTAGACAAAGTAATCAAGCTGTGGTGGCAACCATCTGCTGGCTGAAATGTCCTTGAGCAAGACAGTGAATCTACAGGGCCACACTGCGATGTACAGTATAGGCTATTGTACCCAACCCTGCCCTCTGACCTCTGTGGGTGGAGGGCCACAGCCCTGCACATCTGGAAGATTCAATGAGAAGCCACTGAGCTTCTGAAGGTGTAATTATGTCATGTTGGGTCTTTGTTTATTTGTACATCCATAGGTGCTTCACAGTCAGCTCCATGGACTGATCACAGATCATCATCTCCTGAGAAAAATAAACCCTGATGGCATGTTCAGATGTCTTATTTGAGTTATTCTGTGTATCCAGATCTGCTTAGGGGCTCTCACCACATTATGATTCTATTGGCTGATCACAAATTCTCAACTTGGAAAAATCTCAGTCATTTTAAAGCAGGACAGAGCAGCAGCACGCACAGTAGGACACTTAGTTTCCTGCATTAAAATGTGAGGGGCGACTTTCATCACTTTTCAGATCAGCTCCGGCTCTGCGGCCCTGAACTCACAAGAATGTCTATTTGTCAAACTGCCATTCCAGCATTGGTCTTTGTCACCACCAACCGACAACACATGCAATCTAGCTCGATTAATAAACTGAAGCAAAGTTTTACTTTTTGAGGATGGAATTATACCGACCGGGCCTATAAAGCCAAATATTCTCTCTGGATTCGTAATAAAAAAACATTTCCCAATACAACTTGACAATTTGAGGTGAGGTGTCTAAAGATAATTAAAAGTAATATGACAGTCAAGGATGCGAACATCCCTGAGACCTAATAAAATGACGTTGTCAGTAAAGTAATCAGTATAATGGTACTTTTGCGCACCGACGCGCGGCGTGCTGCGTTTTACCTTGAGCTGCGAGGAGCACCAGCAGGACGACGTTTGCTAGTTTCCCGGAGAAATTCATCGATACATCCATGCCTTGAGACGCTTTCTACGTACAAAAAATAGCTGGAGTCTTGTCAAAAGCCCGCTGTTAAAGACTGCGGAGCCATAAAATTAAAAAAAATTAGGACACTTTCCTTTGCGCTCCCGAGTGAGGAGAGGTTGGAGTCGAGGTGCTCTCCCGACATGGACAAGTTCTGTACGTCCCGCCTTCCCCCCTCCCACCCTGCGTCCTTGTAAACTCCCCTTAGACACTCTAACAAACAAACACACACACACACACACACACACACACACACACACACACACACACACACACACACACACGCGCCTCACTGAGACAAAGTAATCCTTTGGGCATGAGGTCTACCTGTTTCAGCAGAGGGAGATTTTAAATGCCATTAAAATCCTGCCTTGTGGCTTAGGGTAATGTCGTCTATTATTACTATCCTCATATCTATTCACTATAGCTCTAAACAAAGATGCAACACACACATTTTCAGTGCTGAGCTGTAAATGACCTATTTACTCACTTAACTGATTTTGCAGGAACAACAATGTTCAGACAGCTTAAAGCTTTAGCTGCTCTATACTGCTTTATAATGAAAGCTGCAGTCTGACCAGTTCAAATAATCAAATAATGTTAAAGAATAGCAGCACTGCATGGAAATGAGGTGAAATTATTCTGGAGCATAGGACCACTGTATCATCTTTGCTGCAGCAGCTGGTTCTATACATAACACACTGAAGTAAACAGCAGCATCACTGTAACTTACTTTCACTTTTTTCTCTGCATTCTTTGAATATAGGAAGTAAAATAAAAATGTACCGTATGTACATCTGTTCACACTATCAAATTATTCTAACATGGAATTCATACACATGCACACTTGCATATAAGTGTGCATGTGTAGGCATAAAGTGGCATGTGTGTACACAAGGGAAAGTGTCTATGTGTCAAAAAGTCACAAAATAAAAAGGCAAACATTTATTATGTTAGGTTGTCCTACAGCACACTGCAGCTAATAAAATTAGCCTTACAGTTAAAGTACAAAGTAGCTATCATGTTAGTGGCTGGTGGGTCAGCAAGTGGAGCTTCTCAGTTATTTGTGTACCTAGGAATTGATGTCACCTCAGGTTGTTGTTCAGGAAAATCTGGGGTGATTAAGTCCCTCGCATGTGCTAGTACAAGGCCCTAAATACACAAAATAAAGAAAGAAAGTGAAGTAGAGGTTTGATGGAACAGGGAGATGCAGGGACAATATGATAGGTAAGAGTGAAGATGTAGGGACAGCTAATAGAGAAATACACTCAAACCATTTGATTATAAATGTTAAAAAATTCTGAACACAGTGTAGAGAGGGAGTGCCACCAGAGAGGCTGAAGGGCAAATGGGTCATTCACACTTATACAATGTTTTTAAAAGTAAAGTAACAATGAGTATGAAGGAGATACATGCACATATACATGTTGTCTGATGGAAATTATATGACATATGTACTGTCAGGTTTGCCCGGCTGCACCTTCCTCTCTTCTCTCTTTCTCGCTCTAGTCTACTCCTTCTCACTGATTCTCTTAATTGAACACACCTGTCCTGATTTTTTGACACTCTTCAGCTGCGCCTCCTTTGTCACTCCCTATTTATACTCGGCTTTCCCGTCACTCCCTTGCTAGTTCTTTCTTTGTCGTTAGCCTCCCTTGCATTTATGTATTCTATTTTTCTCCTGTTTCCACGTATGTTATTTATTCCTAGTGTCTCTTTGTTTTT